CAGCCACTGCACTCCAGTCTGGGCGACAGAGTGAGACTCCAACTCAAAAAAAAAGAAGTGTCTGGACGCTGATGGTGACCACCTTGAGCACCTCTTGTAATTGCAGAAGTCAAACTTGACTTGGATTCATCTTTTGTTATCAGTCTATATTGAGGATTACAATTGTAATAGTTTTTTTTTTTTTTTTTGAGTTGGGAGTCTCACTCTGTTGCCCTGGCTGGAGTGCTGTGGCATGCTCACGGCCACCCCAGTGTTAACCTGCTGGGCTCCAGCAATCCTTCCACCTCAGTCTTCCAAGTAGCCGGAACTATAGGTGCGCGCTACCACGCCCAGCTAATTTTTTATTTATTGTAGAGACGAGATCTTGTTAAGTTGCCCGGGCTGGTCTCGAACCCGTGGTCTCAGGCAATCCACTCGCCTCGGCCTTCCAAAGTGCTGGGATTACAGGCGGAGCCACCAAGCCCTGTCTTTCTTTCCTTTCTTATAATGTGTATACTTTTTAAAATTCAGAGTCTCACTGTCATGCAGGCTGGAGTGCAGTGGCACGCTCATAGCCACCGCAGCCTCAACCTGCTGGGCTCCGGCGATCCTTCCGCCTCAGCCTTCCGAGTAGCCGGAATTACAGGCATGCGCTACCACGCCCGGCTGATTTTTTTATTTATTGTAGAGATGAGGTCTTGCTGGCCAGGCGGGTCTCGAACCCACGGGCTCAGGCAACCCACTCACCTCAGCCTCCCAAAGGTGCGAGATTACAGGCTGAGCCGAGCCCGGCTGGCTAATATATATATATTTTTTTAATTTATTGTAGAGGCGAGGTCTCGCCATGTTGTCCAGGTGGGTCTCAAACCCCTGGGCTCAAGAAATCTCTCGCCTCTGCCTCCCAAAGTGCTGGGATTACAGGCGTGAGCCACCGAGCCTGGTGACAGTGTGTTTACATTTTTTTGGTCCCTGCTGTATTTTGAAGGTTAAGCCAACAGGGTTTCATAAATTTAAAAGTGAGCCAGGTGTGGTGGTGTATGCCCATAGTCCCAGCTATTCAAGAGGCTGAAGTGGGAGTATTGCCTGAGCCCAGGATGTCAAGGCTTCAGTGAGCACGATCATGCTACTGCACTCCAGCCTGAGCAACAGAGTGAGACCCTGACTCAAAAAAAAAAAGTGTTCAGGATAGGATTCAAACCCAGGTACAGTTGACTTCAGACTTCTCTCTGTCTTATACTGGGGACAAACTGTGTCTGTGTCTCTCTCTCCCAAAGCTCCAGAATCTTCTCATTCTCTCTCACTTCCCTCCTTCCCTCTCCTATTACCATGACAACAAAACACAGTGTACAAGTTTCCTGTGGCCTCTGTAGCCACAAATTGAGCGGCCTAAAGCAACACAAATATATCATTTTTCTTTTATTTTTGAGTCAGTGTCTCACTCTGTCACCCAGGTTGGACTACAGTGGCATGATCCCAGCTCACTGCAGCCCTGACCTCTGGGATCTGGTGATCCTCCTGCCTCAGCCTCCTGAGTAGCTAGGACTTCAAGGCACACACCACCATACCTGGCTATTTGACTTTTTGGAGGGACAAGTTCTCGCTATGTTGCTCAAGCTGGTTATGACCTTCTGGGCTCAAGCAATCCTCCCGCCTTGGACTCCCAAAGGGCTAGGATTACAGGCGTGAGCCACCATATCAGGCCAACACAAATGTATTATCTTACTGTTCTGGAGATCAGAAGTCAGCCATGGATCTTGCTGGGCTTAAATCAGGGTGTCAAAGAGGTGGTTCCTTCTGGCATCTCCAGGTGAGAATCCATTTCCTGCCGCCACATCTGGCTAATTTTTTATTTTTGAGTTGGATTCTCACTATGTTGCCCAGGTTGGAGTACAGTGGCATGCTCATGACCACTGCAGGCTTGAACCCCGGACTCAGGCAATCCTTCTGCCTTGGCCTTCTAAGTAGCTAGAACTACAGGAACGCACCACCACGCCTGGCTAGTTTTTTGATTTATTGTAGAGATGAGGGCTTGCCAAGTTGCTCAGGCTAGTCTCGAACCCCTGAGCTCAGGCAATCCTCTCACCTCTGCCTTCCAAAGTGCTGGGATTAGAGGTGTGAGCCACTGTGCCCAGCTATTTTTTGCATTTTTATAGAGATGAGGTCTTGGTATGTTACTAGTCTGATTTCGAACTCCTGGGCTCAAGCAATTCTCCTGCCTCAGTCTCCCAAAGTGCTGGGATTATAGGTATGAGTCACCACACCTGGCCTCTCTCCTTTTCTTTCTTTCTTTTTTTTTTTTGAGTCAGAGAGTCTCACTCTGTCACCCAGGCTGGAGTGTAGCGGCCTACTCACAGCCACCGCAGCCTCGACCTGCTGGGCTCAGGTGATCCTTCCACCTCAACCTCCCAAGCCGCTGGAATCACAGACATGCGCTACCACGCTTGGCTAATTTTTTTATTTATTGTAGAGACGAGGTCTCACCATATTGCTCAGTCTGGTCTCGAACCCCTGAGCTCAGGCAATTCCCTCACCTCCACCTCTCAAAGGGTTGGGATTACAGGCATGAGCTACTGTGCCCGGCCTCTTCCTTTTCTTATAAGGGCATAATCCCATCCTCAAGGCCTCATCTCACCCCAATCACCTCCCAGAGGCCCCACCTCCAAATTCCATCCCATTAGGAGGCAGGGCTTCAATGGAAACATTTTGGTGGAACACAACTCAGTCCATAACATATTCATCAGTTTGGGAGATCATGAAGTGGACATCCTGATGGGGAGGGACCACCATCTGCCCACTACACCCAGTGAAGTCACAGGGGCCTTTGTGACCTCAACCCTCCCTAGGTACCCTTCCCACTAGACACCCTCACTTGGCACGTGGCAGTTGGAGAGGCCAAACCAGGTGTCCTCATTTCTCCCACGTGTACTCACCCTGAGGAAGCTGAGTCTTGCTCAAGGGTCCAGATGCTGTTGAAGAAAGTCAAGGCTTTACTCATCAAAGATCCCCCTCCGCCCTCACCTCCCCCCCCACCCCCCTCCCAGAACTCAGGCTGTACACACGTGTATGGCTACGTGTTCGGGCACGTGAATGAAAATAACCTTGAACACCTCCCATCACAGCAGGTGAGTTTGGGAACCACAGATCTCCTGGAACCTCTGGTCCAGATTGGTGGGGTTGGGGAAAGCAAGGCTACCCACATCCTCTGTGGGGCTCACCCCGCCAGAATTCCACCTTGAAGGGAGGAGGGCAGGGAGTCTTCCAGTAGGAGAGGGCCCTGGAGGTAACTGGGGAAGGAGCTGCAGCCAGGTGAGTATGTGCGGCCTGGGTCCACCCCGCAGGTGTTAGACACCGGAGAGCAGCTGATGGTCCCCGTGGATGTCCTGGAAGTGAGTAACCAGGGGGCCTTGTGGAAGTTTCTGCTCTCAGGAGCCATGGCTGGGGCAGTGTCTCGCACAAGCACGGCCCCTCTGGACCGAGCCAAGGTGTACATGCAGGTGTGTGAAAGGGGACACAGCTGGGGCCACGGGGGATGGCATGGGGTGAGGGTGGATGGAGTTCAGACTGGAGCTGGGGCTGGAGTTGGGGCTTCCCCTGGACTGAGACTTGAGGCTGTGGGTGGCCACTGGGCATGGACCTGAGTCAGTTTAGGGGATCAGGGAGTTGACAGAACTCACAAGGGACAGGGAACACTGGGCTCAGGTTAGGGTTAAAGTCAGGGAACTGGGGATGGGATCTTTGGATGTGTTTGAAGACAAAATAGGACCAGGGGCTAGGTGTGGTGGCATGTGCCTGTAGTCCCCGCTACTTGGGAGGCTTAGTGCCCGCTACTCGGGAGGCTGAGGCAGGAGGATTGCTTGATGCCAGGAGTTCAAGACCAGCCTAGGTAATATAATGAGACCTTGTTTCTACAAAAAGTTTAAAAATGGGCCGGGCTCGGTGGCTCAGCCTATAATTCCAGCACTTTGGGAGGCCCAGGTGAGAGGACTGCCTGAGCCCAAGGATTCTAAACCAGCGTGGGCAACTTGGCAAGACTTCATCTCTACAATAAGTTTAAAAAAAATGAGCCAGGTGTGGTCACAGGTTCCTGTAATTCCACCTACTTGGAAGGCTGAGGTGGAAGGATCACCTGAGCCCAGCAGGTCAAGGCTGCGGTGGCCATGAGCATGCCATTGCACTCCAGCCTGGGCGACAGAATGGACTCCAACTCAAAATAAAAATTAAAAAATGAGCCAGGGCTAGGCGTGGTGGCTCATGCCCATAGTCCCAGCACTTTAGAAAGCTGAGGCGGGAGAAATGCTTGAGTCCAGGAGTTCAAGATCAGCCTGGGCAACATAGCAACCACCTCTACAAAAAAATTAACCAGGCGTGATGGCACACACCTGTAGTCCCAACTACTCGTGTGACTGAGGCGGAAGGAGAGCCTGAGCCCAGGAGTTTGAGGCTGTGGTGAGCTGTGATCGCGCCACTACACTCCAGTCTGGGCAACAGAGTGAGACCCTGACTTTAAAAAGAGCCAGGTATAGTGGCACCTGTCGTCCCAGCTACTCTGGAGGCTGAGGCAGGAGGATCACTTGAGCCCAGGAGGTTGAGGCCATAGTGAGTTATCACAGCACCGCACTCCAGCCTGGGCAACAGAGCCAGACCTATTCTAAAAAAAATTAAAAATTAAAAAAAAAAAGAATGAAGAGGGATGAGGTGGGAATGGGGAACCTGGGTTGATGTTGGTTTTAGGTCTGGGTTGGGTTAGACAGTTCTAGAACTGGCCAGGGAAGGAGTTACAGATGGGATGAGGGTGGGACGGAGATAGGGTTAGGGTGGAGACAGTGCAGGGCTTCTCACGGCCCCCCTCCGGTCTGCTTCCTCCCCCCAGGTCTACTCCTCCAAACCTAACTTCATGAACCTCCTGGGGGGGCTCCGGAGCTTGGTGCAGGAGGGGGGCTTCCGCTCCCTGTGGCGGGGCAATGGTATCAACGTGCTCAAGATCGCCCCGGAGTACGCCATCAAGTTCTCTGTATTTGAACAGGTGGGGAAGGGTCAGTTTTCCCCAGCTCAACCCAAACCTTCCTGTACCCCCCAAACAAAGTCCAGGTCCCCATCTGAGATGCAGGCCCACCTTCCAGACCCCAGATGCCTCCCCCTGGGGGGGCTTCAAGTCAGAAGGTGGCCAGGTCTCTCTCTCACACTCCTCTCTCCTGTCCTAGTGTAAGAATTACTTCTGTGGGGCTCAAGGGTCCCCACCCTTCCAGGAGCGACTCCTTGCGGGCTCCCTGGCTGTGGCCATCTCTCAGACACTCATCAACCCCATGGAGGTAAGCAAATGTCTGCCCCACAGTGAAGGGGAATCACCTGTTATGCTACTTCTTTTCCCCGTCTCCCCTCCACAGGTCTCACTACATTGCCCAGGCTGGAGTGGCAATGGAGCCTCAACCTCCTTGACTCAAGCAATCCTCCTGTCTCAGCCTCCCGCGTAGCTGGGAATACGGGTGCCACCACACCTGGCTGATTTTTCAATTTTTTATAGAGATGGGGGTCTCGCTATGTCGCCCAGGATGGTCTCAAACTCCTGGGCTCAAGCAATCCTCCTGCCTTGGCTTCCTGAATAGCTGGAAGGGATTTTATATCTGCAAAATCCCTTGACCTTTGCCTTATGACATAACTAATCAGGAAGGGTGATGTCACATCATAGACACCGGTCTATTCCATGCTCAAGGTGGGGGGAGCATTCCATAGATTATGTATGTGGGGGGGGATGCTTAGGGACTACCTTAGAATTTTGCCTGCCCCGCTAGGTGTTCTGTCTTTTGCACAACTGTAGAGTTGCCAATATTTGAGTATTTCATTAAAATTCTGGATTCTGGCAGCTTTTGGAAAATTGGCAGATGTGGCCACTTGGGGACCAAATTCCCACAGAATTCAACTGAGCCCAGGAGTTAGGTCACAGCTCACAGAGAGCCCACTCAGCTCATGTCGCTTTCTTCTCTCTCTTTCTTTATCTCTCTCTCACAACAGGGTCTCGCTCTGTTGCCCAGGCTGGAGTGCAGTGGCACAATCATAGCTCACCACAGCCTCCACCTCCTGGGCTCAAGTGATTCTCCCGCCTTCAACTCCCAAGTAGCTAGGACTATATACCCATATGCCATCACATCCCACTAATCTCTTAATTCTTTGTAAAAGATGGGGTCTCGCCATGCTGCCCAGGCTGGTCTTAAACTCCTGGGCTCAAGCCATCCTCCCGCCTCAGACTCCCAAAGTGCTGGGGTTACAGGCGTGAGACACCACGCCCGGGCTTCCTCACTCTCTTGGCTTCAGTCAGCATTTGACGTCAAAATTCAGAGCTCAGTTCAGGGAAGCCAACAGGTCTGGGTTTGAAACCCAGCTCTTTCCGTTCCCAAGCCTTGGTCTCCTTGTTTGGAGGATGGGGATAATGGCCATTGCGGAGGGCCATGGAGAGGATCCAATCAAAGGGTTCACCTTGCTCTCCCCACCCTCCCCAGGTGCTGAAGACACGGCTGACCCTGCGCCGGACAGGCCAGTACACCGGCCTCCTGGACTGTGCGAAGCAGATCTTGAAGCGGGAGGGCACCCGCGCCCTGTATCGCGGCTATCTGCCCAACATGCTTGGCATCATACCCTATGCCTGCACCGAACTGGCTGTCTATGAGGTGTGGGTCGCACAGAGGGAGGGGCGGGGGTGGCCTGAGCCCAGCGTCCTGGTGAGCTTTCTCTTGGCCCTGTTCTCTTACAGATGCTCCGGTGCTTCTGGGTGAAGTCAGGCTGGGACATGAAGGAGCCCAGCGGCCTGGTCAGTCTGTTGTCCGTGACGCTCTCCACGACCTGTGGCCAGATGGCCAGTTACCCACTGACTTTGGTGCGCACGAGGATGCAGGCCCAAGGTCAGCCTGCCCCTAGTGGCCACCGCACATATGCCACCCCTGCTCTGGCTCTGAATTTTTTCATCCCCCAAAGCTGACTCCCAAGCTTTCCCGGGTAGATCCTGGCCACCTTTGCTGACCTCTAAACCCACCAAGACTTCCCATTCTCACTCCAAAATCTGATCTGAGCCCTCAAACTGACCCCCCCCCAAAAAAACCCCACTAAAGGCTGGACATGATGGCCACACCTGTAATCTCAGCACTTCGGGAGGCTGAAATGGGAGAATCACTTGAGTCCAGGAGTTGGAGGCTGCAGTTGAGCTATGATCGTGCCACTGTACTCCAGCCTGGGTGACAGAGAAAGACCCTGACTCTTAAAAAAATAAAATCACTGAAACTAATATCCATCTCCCAACGAACCTCCCCCCCCAACTTCCCAAAATGTGACCCAGGCCCCCACTGTGACCCAAAAGGCAAATACCCTCAAAATGACCTCCCAACTTCTCCAAATCAGCCCAGAGTCCCTAAACTCATCAGGAAGGACTCTTAGACTCCCCAAAACTCATACCTACTTCCCCCATTACCCTAGGAACTCCCCAAATCTGACTTTCTAAATGGACTCTCAGCCCCCAAACCAATCCTCAAACCTCAAAACAGGTCTTTAGCTCGCCACCCTGCTCTTGAAAGTGTCTCCCAAACTACCCTGAATACAAGCCCCCAATCTCCAGCAGGTCTGCTGTTCCCTCCCAGATAAAAACTAATGTTCCCTAAAAGCTAAGATGCTCCCTAAAATGAATCCTGAAAACTCCTAGTCAACTGATCCCTCACTCCCCGCAAAATGGATCGATTTTCTCTAAAAATCTTCCAAATTCCTTTCTGTCTCCGGGGCCCCTACCCCTGGCTTCAGCCCTCACCCCTCAATGTTCCAGCCTCCCAGGAGGCCAGGTCTTCTCTGGTCAAGGACTGATCTTGCCTCTGTCCCTGCAGACACCGTGGAGGGCTCGAATCCCACCATGCGCGGAGTCTTTCTGAGGATCCTAGCCCAACAGGGCTGGCTGGGGCTGTACCGAGGCATGACCCCCACGTTACTGAAGGTGTTGCCGGCAGGTTGCATCAGCTATGTGGTATACGAGGCCATGAAGAAAACCCTGGGTGTATAGGCTGTGAGCTGGACGACACACCCTGGGCAGAAATGGTACAAGAGGACCTGGTGTTCCCTGGCCCCACTGTGCCCTCTAGGCTCAGACCATTGGGCAGTTTTTGGCGGCACCAGCAGGCTGGGGCGCTGGGTTAGAAGATTGCTGGGGCCTCCTCCCCAGCGTGCGGCCTGGGGACTAGAAGTCTGGATTCCAGTCTGGCTCCTTGCGGCTCGACGGCTCCAGGGCACAACGGTGAACATACAGACAAACAGGAATAAAGAGATGGTTTCTGCTGGACGTGTCTGGCATCCCTGGGTCTGAGAGAGGAGCTGGAGACCTGGGATTCCTGGATCCGGGAGGAAAGCTGGAGTCCTTGGGTCTCTCAGCCCTAAGTGGGAATTGAGAGCCTGTAGGATGCCTGGGTCCGGGAGAGAAGCTGAAGGCCTAGGATGGAACCTCGGGGCTCAGATTCGGGGCTTTGAGTCAGGGGAGGTGGGGCGTTCAATCAGGGGCTGGGATCCCTCCGTCCTCGGAAGGAACTGACAGCCCTGGACTCTAGAGTTGAGGAGGGGAGATGGTTCCTTGAGTCCTGGAAGCTTCAGATCCCTGGGTTGAGAGAGGGGAGGAGGGAACCCCCGGGTTTCCAGCTCTGGGCACCCCCACCCCTGGAAGCATGCGATCTCCAAGGCTTCAAGAAGGCCACGTGCCGGGCCTACCCAGCCAGGCTCCCGGTGAGCTAACCCAGACGTCAGGCCTGAGTTCGAGCAGCCGGTCGCCACCGCCCACGTCGGCTGCCATTCACAGCCGCTCCCGCTAATCCCCTCTCGTCGTCTGGTGGCCGGCTCCGCCCCGATGCAGCTTCCACTGGCTCCCACCAAAACTGGGTACCTTTCTTTCCTCGTTTGCCATTTGTCCGGGGCAGTGTCAGTCAACTAACACCCGCCCCTGTCCCGCAGCCATTGGCTTACAAGTTAGGGCTAGAAAAGGATTCTGGTTAACAAGGAAAGCAATCAAGTCCAAAGCCAACCTCATCACCCAGAATCCATCAGGGACTGGAATCAATTGACTGCTGAGCTTTACAAGCACCGCCCCCCGCGTGTAGTCATTGGCTTGCGTGCACGACTATCACGCCGAACGCCCCTCCAAAGGGTCTTTCACTAGGCCCCGCCTTTCGGTACACGTGACTCTTCGGAGCCGTCGATCTAGTGTTGAAGCCGCCCCGCGCATCCGAAACTCGCGCTTCATTGGGCCTCCTGCCTTCTCAGATCTCCTTGATTTGCCCGCCCAGCGACGGCAGCTCGCAATTCATTGCCTTTGAGCGTTGTCGGTCACTTGGGGCCTCCCGCCTACGGCCTCGCGCTGCACTCCGATTGGCCGCTCACCTTCAGAGCTCGCGATTGGCGCCCGGGGTGCGGGAGCCGCTTCCCATTGGCCCGGCGGAGCCGTCCGTCACACCGGCGGCGGGAGGGGGCGACCGTCTCCCCCCTCGTCGTCTTCCCAGCCGCTGGGTTCCCAGAGTGCTCCGCGGCCGTGTGGAGCGAGGCCTTGTTCCCGCGTTGAGCCGCCGCCGCCGCCGCCGCCTCCTCAGCTTCAGCCTCCGCGCCAGGCCCGGCCCCGCCGCGCCATGTCGGATTACAGCACGGGAGGACCCC